TGTAGACGTAGACTGTTACTTTAACACGATAATACTGACTAAACTGTAGACGTAGACTGTTACTTTAACACGATAATACTGACTAAACTGTAGACGTAGACTGTTACTTTAACACGATAATACTGACTAAACTGTAGACGTAGACTGTTAGTTTAACACGATAATACTGACTATACTGTAGACGTAGACTGGTAGTTTTAATTTTTTAATGAAATTTTTTCAAAGTATGATTTTAATGAAAAAAGTAACACATTAAATAACACTTTTATGTACCTCTCATTTTCACGTCCGATATTTTAATTAATTGTTTATTAATATAAATCTTTTGAAAATAGCTCGTCAACTCGGTCAAACGATAAATGTATCAGGACTGACGTCAGATACCATTTGTAACGTGGATGATATTGACGAATACCTCCCTTCTTTTGATACTTTGTTGTCATGGTTGTCAACGCAAGAAGTAACCTGCAGTGCCAATCTTTTAACCCCCTCTTCAGCGCCTCTAGCTAGCAATACAGAAAACTACCTTTCAACAAAGGATATCCAGAATCCAGGTGACTCTTTACCTGATGTCGTACCGTCTCTAAGCAACAGATGCTTATCCGAAAAGACCTGTCGTGAAGTTAATCCTGAGGGTTTATTCCCAACACCTGTGAATCCAACAATGGTTGAAGTTCTAAATGGGGATAACACCCCCAACGAGATACAATCGGACGAACCTGTCAAGTTCCACGAACTTGCCCCCGTCAATAGGCCACGCAAACCGACGTATAATTTACCTGTTGCGTTAGAGGGCGCTGTAAACGTCCACTATAATAATAGTCGCCAAAGAAACGTTTCTCCAGACTTTTCCTTCAGTGGTCAGAAGATGGATTCTTCTATTTTCTGTCAAAAATATGATACTCCATATCATCAGTATCCAGTTTCCAGTGTAAAGTCCGGAATTACTGGATCCACGTTATAAAGTGCTGGATTACAGAATACATATTATAAAGTCCATTATTACAGGATCTGCTTCGTAAAGTTACACTAAATAATATCAACCGTTTGGAGTTCACTCGCTGGATATGCTTGAAATTATGAATGACTAAACCTATAAAAACAAGTGTGAACTAACAAAAATCCGAAATTTGTATTTAATCCACTTCAGACGAAGAAACCGCACATTTATTACAAGTTTTAGTGTATTTAATCCACTTCAGACGAAGAAACCGCACATCTATTAAAAGTTTCAGTGTATTTAATCCACTTCAGACGAAGAAACCGCACATCTATTAAAAGTTTCAGTGTATTTAATCCACTTCAGACGAAGAAACCGCACATCTATTAAAAGTTTT